CACTATGTGGCTAATCATGGTTCTAGTCCAGAACCCAGCGACTTAAAATTTAGGTCAGGTGCATGTCCATATGCATGCCCAAAATTCTGAGAGGAGGTTGGAGGAGAGGGATTGAGACATGGCCATCCCCTCCAAAGGGTGATTTCTCACTTTCTGTCTCTCTTTGAGAAGTACATGCACCCTAGCATAAATCTTTTTTTTTAAAGTGAGATTAGAGTGGAAAAGGATAAATAAGCAAATTTCATAGAGGTTAGTTCCTGCCTTTTTCCTGGATATCTGTTCCCATCTCCACTTAAGGTGTCTTGACTTTTATCAAAAAGCCAGAGTAGCGTTTTTCCTTCCCTTGCTCTCTCTCTCCCTCCCCCTCTTTTTCCCACATTGCCAACTGCATTTTAGGATCCTTGGGTTGGCTCGAAAGCACTCCAGGTGCACGTGTGTGTGCCCAAGGTCATAATGAGCTAGAGGGCTGGGGAAAGCAGATCATGGATCAGGGGCAACAAGACCCTGTCAAGAGTTCTCTCTCTCTCCTTTCTTGGGCATACTCTATTTCATAAATGAATAATAATAATAATAATGAGGTCAAATAAGTTGTGTTCTAAAATATAAATGAGGACTGGATGTATCATATGTTATTTAATTTCTCATTATTGATATTTAGGTTGCTTAAATTTTTTTTTTTGCTACTATAACACGTTGATGAATGGTTTTGTATGTTAGTTTTTATGTGTATCTCATTACATACTTAAGTATAAAAGTGAAATTATTATAACAAAACTATGAAAATAAGATATTTGATGCAGATGACGCTGTAAACAGTTGTATCAGGGGTGGTACACCAGCTGGTGGTATGGTGGTCATCGCAGCTGGTCTCACATGACTGACTGCAAGGTTGGAGTCCTGCACCTAGTGGCTTGAGAAACATGAGGCCTGTGTGCATACATGCCTAAAATCTTGACAGGAGGGAGAAATGGAGGAGAGGGATTACGGTATGAACCCCCCCCATTCTCTCACTTTCTAATTCTCTCTCTCCTCATCCATGGAGAGTACATTGCCCTCTAGCAAATAATTAAAAAAAAAAAAGTTATAGCTAGTTATACCCCTACTACCTATCTGAGGAGGCCTCCTTCTCGGCTGTTACATCTGCACTGTTTGCTGCTGGATCTTGGAAAACAATACGCCAAAGCAGGATTCTCTGGCACACTGAGTACTTTGAACTGAAAGAGCTGAACTGGAGAGAGACTCTCAGATGCAGACCCTGAAGCAAAGTATCTCTCTGATCTTCTGCCCTTCTGTCTCCTACCCCTCTTCTTCCTCTCAGTGAGTCATAGAAACCAGAATTCCTCTTCCTCAAGACGGGCCATTCCTCTTTCCTAAAGTAAGCCATAAGACCTAGAAATATTACCCTAAGCTTTCCCCATCTTTCTGTGAAGGAGGTGGCCATAAAGAAATTTTCTGACCTAACTTGTCTGATAATAAGTCATAAGATACTTATTCTGGAAGGAGTCTTGCTCTGTACCGAGGAGGAAGGAATGCTGAGAAGAGAGGCCAGAAGATCATGCACAGGCAGGCCAAGCTGGATTTCCCCATTGTCTATTATTAATACATTAGAGCAGATCTTTCTGTCCAATCGCATTTCTATACTGATGTCCATTCTTCCTCAAACCTAAGTATAAACACTGACTGTTTTCCCTGGGTCTTTGGGTCTTTGTCTTTGAAGGCTTTTATGCCATGTACAATTTTGTGAAATAAATGTATTATGTTGTCCTCCTGTTAACCTCGTTTGTTATAGTAGTGCTGGTCGTGATGTTTACAATGGGTGAGGAAAGGCGCACACTGTAGTCTTTATGATGTTCCTATTCTTTTAAAATACTTACATCTTCATCTGTTAATTTGATTTTTTTATTTGTTGGATTGTTTGCTATTGAGATTGAACTTTTTTCATGTATTTATGGCCATTTGAATTTCTTTTTCTTTTGCCAGGGGGCATGTGTTCTCTCTAGTAAGAGACAGAGAGGGAGAGAAAAAGTACCCCCAATGGGACATGGTCATGCTGCAATCTCTTCCCCTCCATTTGTCCATCATTGCAGGATTTGAGGCATGCACATACACACGGGTATGTTTTTCAAGCCACTGAAACCAAGATTCAAACCATGTGGTCAGCCATGTGGGATCCAGCTCCCTTAACTACTAGGCTACAAGGACATCCTACTTTTTCTTTTATTTCTTTCTTGTGTGTGTGTGTATGTGTGTGTGTATGTGAGGGAGGGAGAGAGAGAGAGAGAGAGAGAGAGAGAGAGAGAGAGAGAGGGAGAGAGAGAGAGAGAACCTCAACAAGGTCTTGACACTGTGATCCACCCCTGTTCTTCAGCCAGCTCTGAATCATAGGCACATACACATCTGGTGTACTCAGGGAAGTCTCCAGACTTGAAGTAGAAACCTTCCTGTGTGGGATTACCTCACATAGTGTTGTATTTTGCTGTTGTGCCATCCCCTGGTCTATAAACTTCTTACATTTTGTATGTATGTGTGTGTATGTAAAACTTCCCATTCATGTCCTTTACCAATTTTTAAAATTATTATTTTATTTTTGTTTGACCAGATAGGGGATGAAAGAGAGAGAGAGAGAGAAAGTGAGAAAGCAAGCCGCCAGGTCCAGAACTTGAACTGTGTTTGGCAATATGGGAGTCCAGTGCTCTTAACCATCATGCCACTTGTTGGCCCCAGTCCTTTATTAATTTTTATTTTTTGCTCATTGATTTGCCTTTTCATATTGTTTATGGTTTTTAAAAATTAATTAATTATGAGACCAGCAGATGGCATGATGTTATGTTGTTGGACTCCCAACTAGTCAATGATGGTTCATGTCCTGGACCTGGTGGCTTAAAACACATGCCAGGCATGTGTGCATATGTGCCCAAAATCCTGAGAGGAGAATGGAGGAGAAGGAACTGTGGTGTGGCCATCTACTCTGCGGGGTGATTTCTCACTTTCTGACTTTCTGGTGAGTGCATGTGTCCTGTAATGAAAGTCTCTAACGATAATAATAATAATAATAATAATAATTTTTAAAAATTGTTGTCACAGAGCATGTGTGCTTGCTGGAGAGAGACAGTATTCCATGTGGGATGCAGCCACAACCACCACCACACCACAGACTGGCCCTATTTCATAAAGTTTAAGTGTTGATATAGCCATATCTACCTCTCTCTTCCTTAATGATTTTGTCCTTTCCTTTTTTTGCTTAGGAAGTCCCTCCCAGGCCCAGCCCTGGTAGTGCAGGGACATAATGCTCTGCCATGCTGGAGGCCATGTGGAGGGTCATGGGTGGGCTCTGAGTGGACTTGTACAGGAAAGATTGATCTTGGCTGACTGCAAGTGGTAGGAGGATGGAGGAGTGAGACCCTGTTGAGGGTGCTTGTTTTCTTGCTCATGAAAGAAAGATACTTTAAAAAAAGAAAGTTCCTCCCATTCTGAGATCAGGTTCTTCTTCTTCTTTTTTTTTTTTTTTTGTGGTGGTGTGCG